ACTTTTTGAAAAAATAATAAAAATGATAATATTATTCTATATGCAATAACATAAAAAGAATCGATTATTCGAAATCGTATTATTTCATCAATTTTGCAAAAATAATCTTTCCTATAAAAACTGATTGTTTTATCACTTTTTATTATATACGTTACGCACATACACGTTCATACATATATGCATAGGTGCAAATATTTTAATTAAAAGATAAAACGAAGTAATTTACGTAGTATGTATATATATGTATACCAAGGATCATTAAAAGTTTCAAAGAAAAATGTTCATTATTACGTTAACTTCATCGTAAACATGAAACGTATGATTTAATAGTATATATACATATTATAAATAAAAATGAGAGAATACGAAGGATTCTCAATCTATGTGTACGACCAAACACGGATGAAACGTGATCGATTACATCAGTGGAAAGAATCGTAAATATCAAACAGAATGATATGAATATACAAAACACATGCATAAATACATACGATCTTGAGATTGCAATATGCACCTACGATTATTCTCCCTCAACGATATCATATTTATCAAAACTTTAATCAGAAGCATCGCAATTAGTTAAAAATAATAAAATACGTACATAGATCTCTAGATCCACGCAATCGTCGTGACTCAGATGAACGAGCTAGATTTTTCGTTTCCTTCTTTAAAAAAAAAAAACGCCGTTACTGTTCGTAGCTAAGACTCTTTCCCCCCACCCACCACCGAAATTTATCCCTTCATATACAGCTGTTACTCGACTTGTTATTTTTCAAACAAATGACGTCAAAGGCAATATCTATAACTTACCTTAGTCACAACCACCACCACCACCTCCTTCACCTCCTTCACCTCCACCACCACCATCACCATCACCACCACCACCATTACCACCATCACCAATTTCTCCTCCTTCTCCTTCTCCTTCTCCTACAACCCCTGGTAAAAAGTTTTCGATCAAACACAGACTAATATGAAATTAATTAAAAAAACACACACACGTATATAATTGTTACATATATTATTATTTATTGTCGAGAAATAAATGAGAAAGTAAAAGGGGGGGAAGAGGTTTGCAGTATAAAATAACAGAAATTGCTATTTATTATAAAAAAAAATATTAAAATAAAACAAAAAACAAAAGAAGGAACGAATTGTTTTTAATCTGCGGAAACCCAGGAAAAAAGTGATCGATCTAATTTCTTGATTTGCAATTTTATAAGGGAATAAAATTTCATTTCACGATAATTTGAACAGCTCATCAAAATTCATATTTATTTCGCTAATTTTGTTCGTTTAACGTTCCTAAGGTATTTTATGCAATTTCTGTTATATTTCATTTCAAACTCCCTGTTTTATATTTTCCCCATTAATATACATGTCTCAAAAATAAGTAACAATGTATAACAATGAATTAATAAAACATAACTGTATGTGTGTGTATATTTTTAATTAATTACGTATTACGGTGCGTCTGATCGAAAACTTTTTACCAGAGGGTTGTTGTGTATTTTCTCCTCTTCTCAATTACACTCAACTATATTCTTGATAGATAAATAAGTATTATTAATTATTACGAGAATATCTCTCTCTACCCATTTACCCCCTCCCGCTCTCTCTTTCTCTCTCTTTCTTTCTTTTTTTCTTTCTTTTTCACACACCTAAAAAATTAATACACAAAGGAGGCCAGAGAAAAACTGATAAGGAGAAGGAGAGTTTCTTCTCATCTATCTATCCTATCGAATTTCGTTGCGATCGTTTCACCGATTTAGGACACACGAACGTATAACCCTAAGTTTGTCGTAGTTCGACCATTGCAACAGAACACGAATAGGAAGAACCAAACACGCACATAGATAAAAAACAAATGTATACATGTATTTATATATGTATATGTCTAAAAAGGTGTGGTATACACGTTATTGTCGCTATCGGCCTCCTTCCTTTGCGTGCTCGAGAGTGCGGAAGCAGAGCAATTAAATCTTTATAAAGAACATCGCTTTATATATATATATATATATATATAAGTGCTATATAAGTATGTATTATCATTCAAAGCGATTACTTAAATATGCTGGTTAAACTTTAAAAAATAAAACAACAATCATTCTAAAGAACGAAATACAACGATACAAATGTGTAGAACCAAAAAATTACATATTATCAGTCGTTTAATTAATTTAATCCAAGAAAAAAACCTTTACCATTATTTTATTGTGTTTCTGACTGTACTTACTTTACAATGGAAAATTTAGAAAACAAAAAAAAATCTGTTGTTTGATTAATTTAATCAAACCCGAAAATATGTACCACAGAACTATTGTTTTTTATTGTACTGAAAGAAAAATGGAAAATTTGTTAAAAGAAAAAGGATGTGATCAATTTAAGAATGAATTTAGTCAGAATCAGAAACATATACCAGGGCGCTGTTGTTTTTTATTACAAGAATAAGAGAGCAGTGTAAACAAGGTGACACGATTCGAAAAAGCTTTTACGTTCCGTAAGTTCAAGAGATATGTACATAGGAGGTAGATAGGTAGGTAGGTAGGTAGGTTGGTTGGCAGGTTGGTAGATAGGTAGGTGGTAGAAGTGTATCGTAGGCGAAGGTTTAGTTAGAGAGAACAGAACGTAACTCGAAGTGCCGTTCAAACGACACGGTAAAGTTCCACTTTTCTTTACGATCCACGAGGAGAAGAGAACCAAGGAAACGCTAAAACGTCTGAACGATTACGCGATCACCTCTACTACGTGCTAGTACTCTGTACTAGGTTGAACAACTTGTGGGAGGAGATCGATTGAAGCAGAAATATTATACTTATCCGTCCGTACGAGTAAAAAGAGAAAGAGGAAGAGAGAAAAAGAAAGAAAGAGAACAAGCTGCTTTAATCTTCACGGTAACCACGGAAAAGATGGTGGAAGCTCTCTGTGAAACAAAGTTTTTCCTCCCCTATGCGCTCTAAAAACGTCAAAAACCTTTGAGTCAGCGTCAGTATAACTGTTCAACGAAAATGGACTCGCAAGAAAAAGACTTGTCGGGAATTTTAGTTCAAATATCATATGCTGTCTAGACATGACAATGCCTACCTGACTACGAGAAAGAGAGATCACGAAATATTATATGTATTTAGGAATTTACATTAAGTCCAATAATACTTTACATACTCCATTGCGCAAGGATTACTAAACCGGACTTTATCTAAACCCTATGTACAGGATTAATTAATAACTTTTCTATGTATATTTGCTAGAATAAAACTTCAAACAGTTTTGAACGTTTTCTCTCGTCGAGAGAGTATACGTTTTAAATGAATTTATTCCTCTGGAAAAATAACAAAATTCTCCCATCAATTTTAATAAATTCTAAAGATACATAAGACCATACGAATACTCTAACGAAATAAATCAAATTCTACAAAATTATTTATTTTATTATTCGAAAAATTCCATATGCTTTCTACATACCCTATGGAGCATGATTTATATTTTTAGAAATCTTATAAAAAACAATAATATTAAACAATAGAAATAATACAAAAAATTATACCGCATGCATTTACAAAGATTAATTTAATTTATTAAACTAAAAATAAAATTCTTCTCTCACAACTAATAAATCATCGAAATAATTTTGAAAGCCTATTGTTTTAAATTACATCAATGATTAAAAAGAAAACGAATAGATCATTCTGTCTAAAAAGAAAGAGAGAAATAGAAATAAAAAACTACGAAAGTAGATTTCAACAAGCAAGCGTTAGAACTTTGCGATAGCTCGCATAAATTCGAATCTCTTTGAGCATACCGTGAGGTGATAAACGAGCTTTGAAAATCTTCCTACAATGGAAGAAGCACCGGGGCATCAAAGACCAAAACCAAACTAATAATTTCTGATGACGTTGAAAGCATCACCAACGTGATTAACTTTTAATCTTTCCATGCGTAAACGTTCAACTTGAATAACTCGTTCGCAAATGGCTAAGAAAATATCTATTTTCTTTTAAGAATTCTTTATAAACTTAAAAACGTTTTTTTAACCCATAAAACCCCTAAAACACTTACCTTTTATTCAAATTTCGTTCATATTCGCCCTTGTTATATATTTACTTATTTATTAAGTATACTCATATTACAAAATCCGTGGGAATTACATTAATCTCGTGATAAAAAATTTAGAGCATTAATTAAAATAATATACAGTAATTACATTGACTATTAATAAAAAGTTATTAGAGTGCTTTAAACTTTCGAATCGAGATTATGAAAAAAAAAAAGAAATAGAAAAGCATGCTAGTCTGAACATATGATAAGAATTTCTGAATTAATATTCTCCCTTGTTGTAGTTCTAATTACGATTATTTAAATGATAGAATTGATTTTTGTTTAAATCGCATTTCTGAGGAGAGAAAGAGAGAGAAAGAGAGAGAAAAAGAGAAAAAGAGAAACAAACTGAGAGAGAGAGCGAGAGAGAGAGGGTTAGTAGGAAAAAGTAATAATTGAAATGCCACAGAAAATACTGTTCGTACGAAATCGATTAGTATCGCACGACAAAAGGGCTAGAATAGAAGGAGAAAAGGCTGAAAGAGCGTAGGTAGGTAGGAATATAGGTAGGTTGTCCCCTAGATATAGAAATGGGTAGATGGATGGGTGGGTGTCTTGGTGGCGCCTCGATAGTTGCGCAAAGTTGCATGTTTATAAAGGTTCACATTATGGTACACACTAGGTTCGTTAGACCGGGATATCGCGAAGTGGAAAGACAGCGTGTTCACTAGCGAACATTACAACGAGGGAAGAAACTTGGTTAGGAGAATTCCATGAAGAGAAAGGGGAGACGGAAGGAGAACTTGAGGTGTCCAATCGATAAATAACTTACACGTAACGTCGAAGAATGAGAAGCTCGATGATAGAAAAGGTAAAAGAGGAAAAAGAGATATAAGAAAAATAAGATAATAAGAATAAGAATGAGAGAATAAAAAAAAATAAGGCGAGTCGTATAAGAGACCTACCCCAGGTGATTTCGTTGAACCAAATGTGCGAGGGTGCCGAGGTGTGTTCGTCCAGGAGAGGGGGTATAGGAGGCGCGGGTTCCGGCGGTGGATTAGCAGCGCAGGGACCGTGCAATAGGCAGCCAGTGGTGCCGATACCACGGCCATTGCTCGGGTAGATAATCTCAGGACCGGCTGAGTCGACGTCCGAGAATTCCTCGGCCGCCTCGTCGGCGAGTAGCTTCATCCTGGAGGAGGAGCAGGGTTGTGCCAGGATGTCAGCACCAGGACCGAGAACAGCGCCGGCAATACCATGTGGACTGACTGCAAGAGGTAAGGGCGGTGGCGAGCACTCGGCACCTCGAGACCCGCCAATACCAACACCAAGGGGTGTTTGTTCGTAATCACCGGAGTCGCTACCAGGCGAAGGCGGATAATTGGCTACCGGTGGTGGTTTCACATGTCGTTCTCTCGGTAACATTTGTATGCCGCTTGTAGATGAGGCAACAGAAGGACCCTCGATCGTAGCACCGATTCGACGTCCAGCCGCGGCTGCGGCTGCGGCCGCCGCGGCGGCTGCCGTTGTTGCTGCGGTATAGTAAAAAGAACCAGCTTGGATCATCGTGCCGCGGGGTGGTTCCTCCTGTGCTAGGCCTCCGCCAGACTCGACCTGCACCTGCTGAATCCCATAGCCACTCTGCAATTCCTGGTATTGTTGCTGTTGTTGCTGCTGTTGTTGATGCGACGTTTGATGTTGCTGTTGCTGTTGTTGTTGTTTGTCCTTTTCTCGACGTGGCGACCGACTTCGATCGCTGACGGAAGTCGCGCTCCAGTAGCCCCAAGCCATTTCGCACCGACTCCAGCCGTGCCGGCGCGTGACCTTCCTCTATCCTGCCTTGCCTCTTTCCGCTGGCAACGCCAAACTCCCTCTTGCCCTCTCTTTGTGTCTTCCCCTCCCTTCTGATGCGTCTCGCACTTTCCCTCACTCTTTCCTTCTCTCTCTTTCACAGAAATCCGGATGAACGTGCGACGAATCGCTGCCACGATCGATGCACGTTTACCGCCTCTTTTACGACCTCTCTCTTTCAACTTCCTTCCTTCCTTTCTTCCTGTCTTAGTTGGACGCCTACCGAACGCCAAAATCAGAGGACGATGTGATTGCAAACGAGCGAGTCGTCGATGGAAGAAAAACAACACAGGATTATTTTTTATCGTTCTAACCTTCGCTCCTTATCATCTTCTTCTTCTTTTTCTATTTCTATTTCTTTTTCTTTTTCTTTTTCTTTTTCTTTTTCTTTTTCTTTTTCTTCTTCCTCTTCCTCCTCCTCCACCCCTCCACCTTCTCCTCCTCCTCCTTTTTCTCCTCCTTCTCCTCTTCTTCTTCTTGTTCTTCTTCTTCTTCTTTTTCTTTTTCTTTTTCTTTTTCTTTTTCTTTTTCTTTTTCTTTTTCTTTTTCTTTTTCTTCTTCTTCTTCTTCTTAGACAAATCCCTTGCTGTATATTAAAAGTTGCAGTGGTAACTCTTCTCGTCACTCCTCTTCTATATCTGAACTCTGAGAATGATCACAGCCTTGCTGATCGGTCCGTACGAGGATATCGACTGCCACGGCAGGATGCGTTAACTGGCAGCGTCGTTCGGCGCGCGCTACCAACCGAACCAAAACGCGCAAACTCGAGAACGCCAGTGGTGGGCGCTCCCTCATTTCTCTCCACCACCTCCTCCCCGCCTTTTCCACCTCTTCCTCCTCCTCCTCTTTTCCTCTATCTACACCCTCTTTAGGTTTAATGCCAACTCTCCTACCCCTTTGCCACCACCTTTCCTTCTTTCCTTGCGTCAGGGTTGCTAACACTGGCCAACTTTGACGAGGCAAGGACAAACAGGACAACGAGTAACATAAAAAGAATGAACACAAGACTGAGAGGACGTGTAAGTACTACTTTTCTCTCTGCTTTCTTCCCAAGCTCCTTTCTTTTACTCGACTACCAAGAAACACGCCTCTCGCGACCACCACCACCACCACGGGTGTGGAACAAGAAAGGGTGAGAAGCTGACAAGACACCAAAGAATCTCTGCGCAGGACACTGCGCTCCTAAGACACCTTATTCTCACTCAGCTAAATCTTACCGAAAGATACACTTTTCTGGGACCAAAACTTCTACATATATCGTAACTCGAACTTTTACAAAACAATTCGAAATAAATCGAATTTTGAATAATTTACATTTTCAAAATCTGTTCTCAGTTAATTCGTTCGACAAACAATTTATGGACATCGAGTTGTGATTACTGCGAAGCTAATATTGGTAACTGGGTTCTTTGATCTAAGTATAGAAAGTATCTTTACTAAAAGTAGTAGTGATCTGAATCATGACTGCTCGATATCTCCTTTGTCCTTTTAGACACGATAAGACAATAGAAATAGGTATTAATACCTAGGTTTGCGACTCCTTGTTCGTGGAAACAACTACAATATTAGATATTCATGCGTAGAATAGAATAGTAATGTTAGAAGAATGGCAGAAAGGATGTTACCTCAATTACTATTTTCAAAATTATTTGCTTTCGATATTAAATTCATAATACTGCATTATCCGACCTACATGCTTATGATCTTTCAAGTCTAAATTAATTAGCATCCTAATGATATTAATTATTCAGAAATTGAATCTTTTATTAACGATTTTACTCTTTGCATAATGTAAGGAAAATATTCTCTTAAATAGTTTCATTGAACTGCTTTTACACTCCGACAAGCTTGACTTTAAACGCTTGTTATACACGCGTAAACATTGTTTAACGTTCGAATGCGTGTCCCTTTACAAAGAGGTGTTAGGTTCTCTAATTAGACGATCCTACATTTACACGACACATCGAGCAACTGGGCAAGGTGTGGTGACCTGTATAAATACACTAAGAGCACATTCAAATTTCATGTCAGACTAAGTGCTCTATCCTGAGCTCTTTAAAAACACAAGGAAAAGTAAAAAGTATTGATCTCAACGATTATTAGATCGAATGATCGAGATCAATAAAAAATATATAAGATAATAATCAGACTTCTGCAAAAATCATGATCTTGACTAGACTTGACGAAGAAAGATATCGTCCATTTATTTTCGAGACAAATCAAACGTCCAATAACATACTTAGATAATTAGTTAGGTACTATATTTTCCGAGAGAAATAGATAAAGGAAAAGAAAAAAATAGAAAGAGAGACATGCAGTCGTTTGAAAAAGGAAATGCTAGTCGAATATTCGTCGAAAATATGAGAGAGAGTAATTCGAAAGTTTAACTCATTTATTTTCGACGCTGGTGAAATAAACGCGCGAAACCCATTAAAAGCAAGAGTATTTACCAACCATATATGTTTCCTTTTTACAATTATATTCATATATATAATATATAACTCCCGCAAAGAGAAAGAAGCGAAGTTGATTTGTGGCAAACTTTATTTAAGTATTTCGTGGAAAAGAAATAGCAAAAGAGAGAATAAAGAGATCATTTAATTGTTCTTACATACATATGCGAGTGCATACTTTCGATACATATCGTATTTTTTCTTTTTCCTAAGAATATAAATTTCAATCAAAGATAGACAAACAAACAAATAAATAAATAATCCTCGTAAAATCATATCACATACGATACAGATATTTTGAAAAAGAGAAACAGAGAGAGCGTGATGATACTGACCGTGTATCGTTATTTCCGTGTCCTTTTCTAGTTCGTACAGTCGCAGAGCTTCGTCTAATTCTTCCTGCGACGCGATTCTGCAAGGATCCCCCTCGTCATCGACCCACTTCATGGTGAATTGTTGGTCCGGCCCTGAACCTGGCCCTGCGCCACCAAACCCGCATATCGCTCTCATCTCCTCCCGCAACGTATCCACCGAGATCCCGGCCGTCACGTATGTAATTTGGACCTCCCTGATTATAAAATTGGGGCTCTTACATGAAATGTCGGAATAAACGAAATATTTTTCCAATTCTGAACATGTGATCGCAAATATACGTCCATTAACGTACGAGTACAAAATTTCTTTTACGTTTATCCTATGTAATTTTCATTTCTAACGTTCCAACCAATCGTCGTCGTCGTCGTCTATTGTTAACCCTGACGCAACCCTTTTCTACTCCTCTCCTTTATTTCTAATTACTACTTATGTTAAATTCTTTACAAATTCCTCATGTATAATACCCTTTCTGACTGGTGCTTTAGTTTCCGCGTCAAACCTTTCAAATTCAGCGGATTCATCATCACACATAACAATACACACGTATATATTCTTTAAAAGTTTAGTATGTTTTTAGTATATCACGAAGATATGTAAAAATACGCGTTCCTCATTTTTTTAATATTAGCGAGAAGGAAAGAAAGAATAGAGAGAGAGAGAGAGAGAGAGAGAGAGAGAGAGAGAGAGAGAGAGAGAGAAAGAGAGAAAGAGAGAGAGAGAGAGAGAGAGAGAGAGAGAGAAAGAGAGAAAGAAATGTTGGAGAACGACTTAATGAAAAACCTAATAATATTTATCGCGAAGAGAAATCGCATAGGATAGTATTCAAGTTCTCTCTCGTGTTATACAAATTTCAAACTACATTCCTGCACTTTCGAATATTAAATATTTTCTATCTTTTCACACGTTTTATCTGTATTGTTTTAATGAATTAACATTAATGTATGCGTGTACTGCGACCTATTCATTGATCGACACAGAAGCGTTTGTCAATTTTTTTTTATTTTTTGTTTTTAGCCGATACTATGTCAACAAAATATGAAAATATATATATATATGTCTGATATATACTATGTTTTCCGTTTAAAAGCGATAATACCCCTTAGCCATGTGAGAGCAAATCCAGGACGTGCTATTAGCGCTACACAGATTTGCCACGCTGTACAACCAAGAAGACTCGCGCGTTGAATCAACTTGGCAACGCCGAGTGGATAATTGTCATTGAACAACCATTACGACCAAGCATTAACGTTTGCAAAGCGAAAATGAACGATAACGAATTGACTCATGAATTTAAATTAACTTTTCTTTTAAAATTACCATTTTTCACTTACAGTTCAATATCCTCTCGCGTCCTACTCACGTTCATTCATATAAAAATACATCTCATATTTTAATTAAATTAATTTATTATTATATGTAGAAAATTATATAATGAAAAATATAGAATATTAATATTTTATAGAATATAAAATAACTGTTTTCAAATACTAATAAGTCTTATGATGCTTTGAGAAGATGAAAAGAGAATTATTTTTCAGAACAATGATGTTAATATTAGCGATTTAAAAAAACTGTTCATTAAAATAAGAAATAAATAAATTATATAGGATAGCAAAATCAGGTGTTGATGGTAATAACTAAAACCTAGCGTATGCTAGATTTATTCTGTTACAGCATGTTATAATATACAAAAATAGCGCATTACCCATTATATATAACTTTGACTCGTATGTCCATTTCCGCAGGCATTCTTGCTTGCCCCTTGGGTTGCCCCTTACCTAGAAAGAAAAATAGAATGGACATTCAGTTAACGTTCTCTTTGAACGATGGAATTAACATCAAAGTTGTACAGTAATACTCTGCGTAGCGTAGTAAAATTACTGTTATCTAATTATTAGCGTATTTCTAAGCTACATTTATCTGCTCATAGATACAGGACGATACAATTGATATAAAGGAAATTATTGACAAGCGACTCACCCTTGAAGACACGACCAAGTGTCATATTGAAAAAGTAATAAGAATTAAAAAAAGATATATCATTCCTTCTTGTTTTATGTAAATATAACACAAACTGAGTGCTCGCTGTCACATTACTTTGTGCACTATTAGATAATCTATTTGGAATCATGATCACATAGATATTATAAAACTTTGATTCATTCGCAGCCTCTCAAATATTCATAATTATCTCTAAAAATTATGTTACAAAAGTATATCAATGTCAATATCTACCACATGTATATATATTATTACGTAATAAACTCCATCACATATCCAACAACATGTAACGTTCGCTCATTAAGAACTTGGAATCGCACACCGATATCTAACTTCAAACTAAGTATATCGATGAGTTTAATCTGCAAAAGGTAAAAGTACAAAAAAAAAATAGCAACAGTATGAGACACTTTCACCAACTGTTATTATCAAATACTTTTGTTCTTCTATTCAAATCTTCAAATATAATCGCGCATATTGATAAAATATAATGATTCTGAATAAATAGATAAATATTGATCAATCCGATCAAATAAAA